GAAATGCCATTAACAAAGCCGAGGTGATGCTGGCAGCCCTGCAGAGGCAGCTCTCGCCTACGTGAGTGGATGAACAGAAGATGTGGGGTTGAGCATCTCCAACCACACACCTGAAGGAACCCAACCACCAGCCTGCAACAGGGGGGGCAGGAGTGGACCATATTTTGCAAACTACCCTCACTTTGTTGCCCAAGGCAAGCTCTGGGAACCAGTTGTTGCAGCACAGCTCCTGTGTGAACATGCCTGTGTAATGGCCACCCCCTTGTGGGAGAAGGGAGGTATTGCAGTCACGTCTACTAGACGTTTCATAGACCAGTCTTCCCGATGTCTCTGTCCTTCCTGCTTGCCCCCAGCCCCCAGCTGGGTGCTGGAGAGTGCAGGGAATTGTTCTGCTGGGAAAGGGACTGCCAGCCCTGGAGACCTGGAGTCCTCCTTGCATCCACATGGAGCTGGTACAATAATGGGATCAGCTATACACTGTTTGTGTCTTTCAAGCTGTGTCTTTTTTTGCCTTGCAAATGCATGTTGGGCCCAACAACCCTAATGAATTTGTGCTTCAGGAGGGACACAGCACAGGAATGTGTGTGTAGGCATGGGATAAGTGCATCAGCCTTGTATGCACTAGCGGTTTCCTCAATGAGTCAGCAAGGGTGGGCTTAGACATCTTGGAGTTGGACACCGGGAGGGGTCCTCTGAGGCAGGCAAACTCAGCAGTGTAATGGTGGGAGGGAAACCAGGGAGGCTGATGATCCACTCAGCTTCTACCTGGGGACATCAGTGCAAATCTTCACAGAGGTCATCAACAAAATGAGCCTGTTAGGTCTCAGCCAGCACCCCAGTGCAATGAGATCAGGGTCTCTCCTTTGAGTGTATCTGTTCCAAGTTGCTGCACAAAGACTTCAGGCCTAAGGAAAAGGGTCTGTTTAATGGCTGCTTCAGAGATGCCCCGGCTTCCTGCTGAGAAGCAGGGTGCATTAGTCTGGGTGTGATGCCACACTAATATAGCTATATGGTTTTGTTCATTCAGAGGTAGCTGGGTATCTCTTCCCAACCCTGCATTGTGCTGTGAAGACATTGCATGAATAGCAGATAACATCCACTGACCTGCTGAGCAGCAGACACAGGCGAACATCCCTGCTATCTGCACTGAGGATGGGAGAGTGCCACTGGCCAGACTGCTGCCCACACTGGGCTCAGGGCTGACTAGTGTCTGCTTGGGTCTGGAGGTGCGTGGAAACCTCTTCTTTGCATTCTAGAATAGGCTGATGATCAGAGGCTTCAGATCACTGCTAGTCAACGCAGTGACTACATGAATCTGGGGGATGGTGCTGCAACATTTAATTTGCCCAGGGCAGTGAAATACCCATGGCCAGGCCTGGCTGTGGCTACCAAAACTCAGAAGCAGAGAATGACTAATATAGTGACCCACAATGATTGATCCTTTTCTTGAGAAGGCTATCATGACCTAGCACTCTTGGGCACAAATTAAACAACACCCTGCTGTTCTCTGCAAGGAGAGCACTTGCTACTCTGGCCTCCAGCTTCACACTTGTCGATCCGGGTGGGCATGGAATCAACCCTTCATTTCAAACTGATTGCTTGCTTAGCCCAAGCCTGGCCTTCCCACATCTCCAGCATCCTCTCAGCAATAACACCAGTATCTACTACCTCAAGCACATGCAAAAGGGCCATGAGCAGTCCCAGGTCTGGGTGTGCTTGCACTGCTGACAGACCAACAGCAGGATGATAACCTGGGTGGAGAACATCCAGCTAACACCTCAGCAGTGCCAGATGAATCACTGCCATGTGGAATAGTATATGTATCCCTGATAAAAAGGTTTCTGGCCACACATTACAGTAAAGTAACCCCCTCCACAGGGAAAACCAGTCATAGGGATTATTGTTATCATTGTTGATTTATTTGGGACCTACCAGAAGGTGAAGTGTAAGGTAGGTCATGGACACCATATCTCACTTCAGCTGACACCTCTTTCTCATAGCTGATGTTGCCATCCATGAGTTAAAACTTCCACACAAGGCCTATTCCAGATAGCATTCATCCATACACAAACCTGGGAGCCTGCAGTCAACAGCTGGACAACCATCCTCTGGCTATTACAGCAATATCATAGCTTGCTGGAGTCAATGACTCTGTCCAGTTGCTTTGGTGGCAACTTCTGCCCAGATCCTTCAAGAGAGACAAGGAGGAGGATGACACATCACCTTTCTCAGTGGGACAGCAGAGAGCATGTTGCAAGAAGATACACTGCAGGATCTGAAGGGAGTAATGAATGTTGCGTGTGGCCAATGTGGGGCACAAGGGGATTCAATTCAGTACAGACACTGGGGAGAACAAGATGATGGTGAGAGACCATAGAGACTCTTTCAGAACCTTTTTTTGGTGCCTGTGGCTCTACCTCTACATCACTCACCCAGCTGCACATGTGCTTACATGCCTCCATCCAAGTCTGCAAGAATACGTGTACTCACATATACCACGGCCACACATGTATGCACTCAGTTCAATCCACTTCAATGATCCTTTGTTGGCAGTGCAAGTTAGACAAGTGATGCCAGGAGTATAAATGAGGCAGGCCCCATTTGGGTGGCAGTCAGAAGGAGGTAAGATATACTGGGTATATCTAGGTGGTGTAAGCCTGTGCCATGCTGAGATACAACATCCCACCTCTCTTCTTCCTGCCGGGGTCTCTCAGGCTTTTGAGCCATTTCCTGACAATCTGAGGAAAGCTCTGTCATGTCCTCCTGAAAGTCTGGCACTGACACAGAGAAAATGGTCTCTCTCTTTCAGTTTGAAGGGTGCTTTTGACCCTCTCATTTTCTGCACTGTACAGTGGTCCCCAATTCTGCGCTGAGTGAGAGTTTACCTCAGCTTTACACATATTGCTCCACTGAAGGCGCCCACAGGATAGGCTCTGTTGTATCTGCATTCACCCCCCCCACCAGAAACATGCCCAGACACGATGCACCCACACGCTCACTCCCGTAAATACACATTTGCTCATACACACCCGCCCTGCTGCATAAATGCAAGCACCTGTTTGCACACGTTCCACATACAGATTCACCCCGTACCCTCATGTGCACAGGTGTGCACACCTAAACACGTGTCCCTGGACACACACATGTATGGCCTCCTCAGCCTCCCTCACATCCACAGACACAGAGCCTTTGTTTTCTTTGTTTGGCGATGGCAATAAAAAGCCCTGTGCCTCAGCAGCTGTGTGGCTGGCAGGCCCTCCCCTCCCTTGTCTTCCCCTTGCAGGGCTCTGTCACTAGTATCCAGCCTTTCCAGTGCAGCTGGGGAGAGCAACAAGATAACATCTCCCTGGGTGCTGGGGTCAGCCTGGTGTTGAGCCTAGGTGCAAAAGGGAGCCCCAAAGTATGCAGTAATGGCCAGGTTTGAGTTCCCAGCTTGACAGCAGTTGCTATAGCTACAGCCATAGCACCTTGCAGATTGGTTTCCATAAGAGCTTGGTTACTATTTAACATCTCCACCCACATTAGCCCTGATTAAGCGAATCAATAAGATAACAGGAGAGGCAGGTTTCCTCACCCTCCTTCTCCACAGTCCCTCCTGCCTTTACCTGGCTCCTTGTACACATAGATTTTTTTTTATTTTCCACTCTTTCTCTTTTCCACCCCAAGTTTCTAATACACTAGCCGACGAGAAATGGTCAATGTAACTGCAGAGCTAAGCGCTAAGATGGAGGCTCCATATGGTGAGTAGGGGATTAACATCTTCCTTGTTGTTCTGCAGAGGGTGCTAATGGGTGTGAAAGCCAGGGAAGGTAGAGGCTCCAGGCTGTGAGTGTGCACACTACTCCATGTCACACTCTTTGGACCCAATCCTGGGTCCTCGCTAAGGCAAACTCCCATTCACTTTAAAAGGAGTATTGCCCATGGCGAAACTGAGGATCTGCAGGATTGGGTCCTTTATGGGCATGGATTTCCGGGGACTGGGGAGGATTGAAGAGTTTGGAAACTGATACAGAAAAGAGAAAAAAGGAGTAGTTTTTCAGGCTCTTCTCTTTGCTTGGTTTTACGTGCGGCGGAAGGAGCCCGTTCAAGTGACAAACTCCGAGCTCAGCCTGAGGTGCCCCCGGCCTCACAGAGCATTGTTGTGCTTGGGACAAGGACTGCCTTTTCAGCACAAGTCAAACCTTTTAAAGCTCAGTTCCCATCATCTGTTTGTTTTGCCACCTGTAGAAGAAACTGAACTGAAACTGAAGACCTGTGGTTGGTGGAGGGCCCAGGCCATGCGTGGCAGGTAACAATATGGATTTGCATTCATGCGAGGGCCTGGTTGCCCCCATGATGAGCAGGGGTGATTGAAAGAGGCAGGTTTGTTGGTATTCCTAATGAGAGGATGCCAGGCTATGACTTGGCATCCCCACAGATAGAAAGTGTCCTGGTATTTCCATCACCTGAAAGAGGAGAGTACAGCAGCTAGTGTATTATCGTTTAGGAAACACTGGGTTCAACTGCAAGGGCTCTTAAGGCCCTTAAACGTCTCCCCAAAGCAGTGGGATGTGTGCTGGTGACACAAGGCTATTTCACTCTGTCCCTGACTCAGGGTGGTTTCATTGTATTGCCAGGTGCTCAGTGCTAAGGTCGCCACATTAATGACCAAATGATAGATCACTTCCCCCCAGATGCTGTTCTTATTATTATTGTTTTCCCATTTTAATCTGTGCCATTTGCTGAAATACAGCATCCTGTGACTTGTTTCTGCCAGGAAGGCAAACCGAAGATGGTGTTGGGCTCCTTTGAAGCAATCTTGTTTATTTACAAAGAATGGCCAAAGTCCCGTTTCACTGAATACATTAGGAATCAAACAGCAGGGACAGCTGCTTTGCTCACAAGTTTCTACCTCTTTCAGCCAGCATTTAGCCCCAAAGCACTCTTTTAGCTTTTTGCTCAGGGTCACACTAATAGTGCTGCTATAGTCGTGCCTTTGGCTTGCTCCTTCTTTCTAAATTCATATAGTGTTTTTCAGTACTACTCTCTCTCACACAGCTCCATCAAGCAGTGTCCCAGGCTTGGTGTTTGCTGTATCAGTCCTCAGAGAAAGCCCTTGAGCACATGGATCACCTTCTACTCAAACAATCTCACATGCCTGAGTTTTGTGTGTTGGCTCCTCTTGCTCCACTTAGGTGGTTCCATGCCTTGCACCTCCAAACCCCATGGGCACAGAAGGTCCGATCCTGCAAGGTACTCAGCACTCCTATTATCATCCTCCACATGAGAGGAGGGGACTGAATGTCCTGCTAGGCTTGGGTGGTACAGAGGGAACAAGGTGCTAGGACTTCTTTCCACTCACTCATGGTCTGTCATGTCCATTTGGAACATGAGCCCTTCAGGCCAGGGCAGTCTCCCACTACATTCAATGCCTAGCACAGTGAGGCCTCAACCGTAGCCAAGGCCTTGAGGCCCTATTGGAGTAACAACCATTATAATAATGTAGGTAGCAAGAGTTGAGGATGGAGGGGCAGGGCTGAGTGGGGCAAGGAAGGCCCAGACAGGAAGTTTGTATTTGCTGCAGAAAACGGCTGCTTATCTCAGTATCCTGGTCAATGCCCAGTTGATCTTCTTGCCGTATCTGCCAGTGCTGGCCTGTCCATCCTGCAAGGACCTGAGAGGTCTCTTCCAGCTCCTCATCACCACCCCTTGCCCTCACCCTCCTCCACCTCCATCCATTTTAACTAGCAGGGATCAGTTTGTTCAGGTCTCTCTGCAGCAAGATCCTTGGCTTGCTGCAGAGTCAGGTGATTCTCCCAGCTCAGACTGGGAAAGGTGGAGGTTCTCCCAGCTCACACTGGGAAAGGTGGAGGTTCTATACATCCCTGATTTGCGTCTCCCCACCTCTAAAATCTCTGTGACATACATGTAAGTTGGAAAGCAGAGCTCACACCCTCCCTCTGTTGGGAGCAGCAGTCTTTGCCTTCTCCCATTTGGCTGATACTGCTGCAAATGGCTGAGCAGCCTGTTAAATCACTCATGATAAAGTCAGTGTCCACTTGTGTCTGACTTTAACAGAAGGAATGACTTGCCCGCCTCAGCATATAGATGATTTACTGAGGGCTTTTAAACAAATTTAGTCAAATATCTCTGCGGCTAATACTCTGTCTGAGTCCAGCCCCGATCGAAGACAAACCAGAGGCTGAGCAGGGCTGACAAGTTGAGGCAGGGACACATGTAGCCGGAAAGCACTGTGGTTATCAGCTAGACTTGGGAAGAATTGCTCCATGTCCCACCTGCGGGGCTGGTCTCCCCATCTGTTTCAGTAGATAAACAAAGGAGCGCTCTCGACAGACGCTCGCTGTGCGAGAGCCTGTCATGGAAGTGGCCTGCCAAGTCTAGCAGAGTTGGAGGCCTTGCAGAAAAAAATAAGGAAAAATGAAAGAGGGGCCTTTGAGACCAAAGGGAAAGGAACCTCTGGATCTTGGCAGGAGGAGGGGAGTCCTCATAAACAATTAGGTGAAAAAGTTATCCAAATATGAGCAGGGGAAGGTTTGGCTGGAGAAGGGACCTGGGGAGCGTCTGGCTTTTCCTGAAGTCTAGAGTGAAATGGAGTTGGGGAAAAAGATTGGTCAAAATGGAGCCTGAGTGCTGCCCAGAAACATTTTGGATGGTAATTTGGGATGCTGCTTATTTAGACAGATGGACAGACAGGCAGAAGACAGAGAATTGTTCAAGAGGTGCAATGTGAACAGACTCTGGGCAAAATTCCCCTGTTCACATCCATGATGAGGGAAAGCTGCTTCCTGAGCACTGCCTCCTTGCCTCAGGTCTTGGGGGTATTGGGTGATTGAGTGTGCAGAGATTTCCTGAAGTTCACACTCAAAGCCCTTGTGTGGTGACCGAACCCTCCTTTCTGCTTATGGTTCCTCTATCTCTGCCACACAAGGTAAGGCATCTTCCCTGGCTCAGCAGCTGGCAGGTGTATGGGGGTACCCCCATGCCACCCGCTGGCTGCGTAGGCCCTCTAGCAGCTGGTGCCTTCCCAGGGTGTACTTCATGCTTTAGCAACACTTCACAGGAGCATATGCACACTGGTGGCTTGGTGGTGGCAACAACTTAAGCGGGAAGCACAGCAAGACTGGGATATACTGAAGGTGGGGTATATTGGAAGTGGCACCACAAAACCGTGCTGGTACCCTGCTAGCCAGTGGCATAAGTTAGATTTTCTTCTTGGCAGGCCAGGACCAGGTAGCTAAGGACCAAGAAACTGTAGAGCCAGCTTCCCTGTGGCCTCACACAGTTCTCATGCAATGGAGATTGGGATATTTCTCTGGAGAAACTTTGTGCTGATAAGCAGTGCCTCAGTCCCTTCTTCATCTCCAGAGCAGGAATAGCACCCACAATGGCAGTGTACTTTAACTGGCTTCACCTGCTTCTAAGAGCACCCAACTCCGATGTAAGAGAAATCAGCCACCATGACTCTCCTAGTCTCCAGTCCTTGTCCTCTCTGAATCTGCCAGCAAGGAGCCCAGTTAGTACCTGTATGCTGCTTTATGTATCAGAGGCCAGATCTGCAGGTGGGGTTGAATGGCGTAATTCCATTGGACTCCCATGGAGCCAAGCCAGTTCAGTGGAGCCATGCCAGCGTTCACCAGCTGAGGATCTGGCCTTCTACCCAGGCCGGTGTTTATTTTCAGTGTTTCCCTTGATTAATACACAGATCAGGTTGAATGTTTTCCTTCTATCCATCTAACCGTCAGGTTTAAGAGTTACAGCTACAGGGTCCATTTGCTTTGGGCTCTTAGATAAATGTTGAAGAAATAGCTTTGGTTTCCCTCCAGGTCTCCAGTGGGTGGTCTGTCTGTAGCTGGGTATTGCGCGGTGAGGTAACACTAGGGTGGCTGTAGCTGAATGATGACTTTGGATGGTGTTTAGGACAGACCAGGGAAAAAGACGCAGACTTTTGACCTCTGCAGGGAAATCCAGACGGAGTCTCCGAGCAGGATCTTGCCGGCATGCGGTATCATCTGTCCCCTCTGCAGGGTTCTTGCTACACACAAAAAACAGCCCGGGCAGCACTGTCATTGTGCAGTGAGAAAAAACCACCAGTGAGGAAAGGCAGGTCTCCCAAAAACAGTGAGGGTACAGTGTGCCTTTCACCTCTGCCACTGGCTACATCTGAAATGCATACAAAATGGCTGTGTCGTCTCAATTTTTAGCGGTGCAATGTATAGACCACAAAGCCCCAGAAACTCCATTACATCACCACCTGGCTCATCATATTCTTGATGCTGGTTTGTTTCTCAGTTAAATGTGGAAGATAAAGACAGACCCCAGGATTTTATATTACTAGAGGGCTTCTCTGTCTCCTGGAGGGAGAATAGAGGGAGAGGTGAGATAATGTATTTGGAAATAAATAAACTGAAGAGTTCCCTTTTGCCTCCCTCGGTCACCTTCTTTTTTAAGAAACTTTGTGCCCCTGCCTCCGGGGGTGGGAAGCTTGGCAAGGCCTCTCCCAGCTTCTCAGGGACACTCCAAGTTTTCCATGTCTCAAAGGCAGCTCCCCATTATGGGCCATTTGTCAAAGAAAGGATATATGGGAATCATAGTTCTTCAAAGGTTTGGAGAAATTGGAAGCAAATTGTCCATCATTTTGATAAATGGAAGGAGTTATTTCCCGTAATCCCAGAGCAGACAAGACCATTTCTTTCTACCAGAGCTGTTGTTACCACCATTTCCTATACTAGGAGTCAGCCTGGTGTGGTAGCCAGAGGAGAGAACTGAACAAGAGATGGGGAAGAAAACTTTTTCAGTGAATTTGACAGAAAGGAAAACTTCAGAGGAACTGCCATTATCCTTCAGTTGGGACTGAATTCACAAAATAGTTTCAGCTGAAAAAAATGGGGAAAAATGTTTAAAGCTTTGAAGCACTTGGATTTTTCATGGAAAAAACAGCACTTTTCATTTCAGTATTGTCCTAAAGGAAAGGGAAAGAAAGAAAGGATTCATTCACCTGAAAATGCAATGAAACAGTCCACCCCAGGTTAGCTGAAACAGTTCACATCAACCCAGGAGGAATTTTGGGGGGCTCTAAGATCATCACACTAAAAAAACCCAAACCAAAACCCATTTTGGTTCAATCAGAGGTGAATTTTTTTATATACCCAGAAACCCCATTCAGTTCTTTCTGAGCAGGATGGCAAAATCTATTCTTCTACCAGTTCCAGTTAAGCGGCCTTGCTTCCACTGCTAATATTTGTCAGTGGTTCCTCTGCTGAACTTAACTATGTCACCGTGTTTCCCTGCACTGTCATTTCTTTGTTGGAAAACTATTTGAAGAAGGTGGAGATCCTTGTGTGATGGGTGTTACCAAGAGATGCTATAGAGTGCTTAGTGGAATTAGGATCATTACTTACGCAGAGCGTTTTCTTTTCCTTGCACAATAGATGGAGAGAGGGTTGGACCAGAGAGCTAATGATGCTCACAGTGTGTGTACCCACCTGCACGTGGGTCTCCATGACTGTGCACACAGACTGGGTGCACAAGTGCACCATCAGTTGTGCACCCAATGTGCCGAAAATCCAGCTGCTGTTGTTATGATTGATTGTTTGATGTTATGGTAATGTCCTAGGGTTGCCCTAGGTATCTGGGCCATTAGGTGTTATACAAACACAAAGGAAGACACACTTTCTGACCCAGGGCATTTACAACCTGTTTCTTTGTCCATTCCAAATAGTCAGCTGTTACACTGGGAATGAGCAGCCCTGGGTGCTAGTCTGTGTTTGTCTGGGTCAGCATTTACTTGCTAGGAAACAGCTGAGCTGGGTTTCTTGCTACATCCAGGAATAAACAAAAGGTATTTAAATAGGAAAGAGGGCTAATCCTTCCTTTAGTTATCTTCACCATGCTCACCATCCTGTTCCAAGCACCCATAAAAACATCCCTACTGTGCAACAAACTGCCAGGAAGATGGAGTCAGGGATGCTCAGTACCTCTTGTTGAGGGATATGGGGATGATTAATTGACCAATGTTTGTAAGGTGGTTTGAGATATTGAAATGAAAGGTGTGGTGTATGCCATTTTATAGTAATGACCCAACCTCATGCATCCTACAATGGTGACACTCCCACAGCACACAGCACCATTTTTATAAGGGGGTGAGAAAAAAAATGTCATTCTTCACCTGTGAAATTTGCCCCTGTATTCTGAGCCACCATAAGGCCTGTGCAGTATTAAAAGCCCTAGGTCAGGCCAAGTTTAAGGTCTGTAAGTAGGGTATGGGCCTCTTCTCTGTAAGGAAATCATTATTTTACCATTTAAAAGAAATAACACAAAGCTGATAGAAAAATGTACTTATGCTTTTGGAAAGTCCTCGGTAAATAACTCTTTACATTGTTGTTGTTGCTTATGATGATGATAAACAGGATGAATCCTCAGTGCAGGTTTACAAGTTCTAAGGGAAGCCCCATTGATAAGTTCCCCATCTTTAGGACAAAGGATATTACCAGGCACAACAGACAGGGGGTGGAGATATGTATTGGAAATATTTCAGCATCTTGACACCAGCCCACTTTCTTGGTGACTACCCAGCCCCCATGCTTAGACTGTAGTGCCTCACGCAAACTAGACACATTCTTGTAAAGTTTCCCACCACTGATTTAGGGTTGTTGGTTGTAGCTGTGTTAGACTAAGGACATAGGCTTAGTTGATGTAATAAAAGATATCACACCTTGTCTCCCACCACTGATGACACTAATTAAACTTAAATTGTGTGATCTACACAGGGGAACCTGTGTCAAATGACCTGCTCAGAGCAGTGCTAGTCAACATGGTGGTAGCCAGCTTCTCTTCTCCTCTGGGGCTCCGAACATCACTACCAGTGATGGGCTGAACCTGAACTAAGTGTACAGAGCCTGTTTCATTTCCCTTATCCTTTGCACAATGAGTCTCCAGTCTCCACCCAACTCCAGCCTACAGGAAACCGTCACGGAAGTTTCCTGCAACCTCAATGTGTCCAGCCAGTAGAGGGAGGGAAGAAAGCCATACCCAGTAAGCACTGGTTACCCTTCTGTTATTAGGAATCTGGGAGGTTCAGAGTCTGGATCACTAGTATCAATCTTTGCATCCAGTCAAAGCTGTTGTGACTGAAACGGATTCAGTTGGGAACACAAGCCCTGCCTCTAGTGGGCAAGTGTCTGAGAACACACCAAAAATGCCACTGAAGTTGACACTGGTAACACTCTGGCATTCCCCCTGAGCACATGAACATGAGAAGCAAATTTGAAAACACTGACCCTGAAATAAACATACCTGTAGTAACTTGCATAAAATTTCTACAGATATTCAAAGACATAATTCATCCAGAATTCATGCATTTTGCCTTTTTATGAAACTGCTGCAAGTTCTAATACAGGTACTTCATAAACATGCTTTTAAAGAATACTTTTACTTTTTTTTTATTACTATATTTCGTGTTCCATGTCAAATCAGCCAAATCAGTTCCAAATCATATTCCAAATATGGTTCCAAAAACCGTATTGATTGAACAGAGAGAACTCAGTCATTCTAAACACCAGGTATGGCGCTACTACTGGCAAGCATCCTCCATTCAAGCCTCTTACCCTGGGACTTCAGATATTCCCAAATCCACTGGCATCCTATGTGCAGGCCCAAGCCCAGAGGTCTTGGGATCCAGATGCCCCCAGATACTACAAGCAAACATCCTCCATCCCAGACTCCTTAGTCCAGGGCTTCATATACTCCCTACACTTGATTTTTTAATTTTTTTTAACACTTTTCATATTCCAGGTCAAAATAGCCAAATCAGTTCCAAATCCTCTCAATTGAGCAACACTCAATTGTTCAAACACCATATGTGACACTACAACTGGCAAATATCTTACACTTGCAGCCTGGGACTTCAGATACTTCCAAATCCATTCGTGGGCATTCTATGTGCAGGCCCAAGCCCAGAGGCTTGGGGTTCAGATGCCCCCAAGTCTCACTTGCCCTTAACCAAAGTCCACAGGAGCAAAGGAGTCCCCCATTTCCATAAATTAGGCGTGTAGCCAAGATCCTCCCACTGGATGCTGGCCAGTAGGAATCTAATTATAAGACTTGTAGGACATCCTATCTGCAGTGCATTGGACAGAGGTACACCCTCCACTACACAATGCCATTTAAATCCATCTTGGTTCGGGTGACAGACCAGACATTTGATCTGAGCCAAAAGGCTGAGATAAGAACAGGCTTAATTTATTAGAAAATGTTGAGAATCTTAGAACAAAAATGACAAGACCATAAGGGAAATATAGAGTACCCAAGTGGGGGACTAACATAAGAGGGATGAGGGTGAGGAGGGGAATGCAACTAGGTTACATAAATACTATGTTAGCTGTCTAGGCCTGGGGATGGGAGGGGAGGTGAGGAAGGGGAGGGAGGGGGTCATGACACTGAGAGGGAAAAGAAGATACAAACAAACCTGTACAAAGGTCCACAATGGAGGAGGGGGTGAGTTGAGCGAAAGAGTCACTCAGTCCACGGAGTCCTATCGTGGGGGTCCTTTCCAGGTGGAATGGAGTAGCCCACGGTTGAGAATAGCTCTCAGAGTCCATCAGGTGCTGGGGGGTTCAGGTGGTCCACTTGATCTGAGGCAAACAGCTAGAAACCTACATGATATTAGTCCAAAGCCAAAAGGATCATAATTTACTCTATTGGGCTGGGCCCCAGCAGAGTCAACAGCATTTCAAACCATGGTGACCCTACAGCTCAGGACTGCTCAGTATGTGTGTGTGTGTGTGTGTGTATTCCAGACCCCCACCACAAAGGGTCCATGTATTAATTACCCCCCCAGTAATGGCCTGGGTGTTCTTGTCACAAGTCCTAGGATCCTCCAATAAATTAGATGCAGATGAGGTGCAGGGTAACCTGGTCTGGCCACCTCATGGAGGGTGGGGCCACACTAATCATATGTGCCAGGCTAAGAGAGAGATTCTGGGTGAACTGTTTGGGGCCCCATTTGGTAATGTTTGCCAGACATTTAAGGCTGGTGAAGAAACAGGATTTGTTAGGAATGGGAAAGAAAGGTACAGGTCAGCTATGGGAGTGAAGAGGAAGTGGAAAGGTATTCAGTGTAGTGGCTTACCATGACTGGTTGAAGCATCAGCTCTGAAGGGAACTGCAGTCAATGAACACTACTACAGTAACAGTTCTATTATCTGGTGTCTTATAAGTTAGTGTACTTCCCTAACCAGTATGCCAGTTTGTAAGATAAAGTGAAACTGGAGGTACACTTCTCGTTTCTCTAAGCCCCCATTGCTTGGGGCAAAGCAGCCTGTGCTGCCAAGCCCCCACAGTCTGGGGGCATAGCGGGCTGTGTGGGACCTGCCTCCTTGACTTGCCACGGGAGAGGCGGTGGGATGCCCCAGACATGGCGTGAGAAGCGGTGGCCAGGGACGCGCAATTAACCAGCATATTTTGTTATCCAGCATCCCCTGTTCCCAGGAGATGCTGGATAACAGAGCTTTTACTGTATATATTTTATTCAGATGGGTTACACTAACATTTTGGTCTTTTGGCCAGGGGCACAAGGAAGTGGGTGCATTTATTGTAACGGGTGTGTGGGCTTTCTTTATGAGGTTTAAGGTTCTGATGAAAAGTTGACGATAGAGGATGTATATATATAACTATATAGAGAGAAATATATTTTTAATAATTTTTTTTTTTTGGTGAAGATCAAGCATTTTTGGCACCAAGGGAAAGGTGTTGGGACTTGCCTTGGCTCTTCTGGTACCAGTCTGGTACTGTAGTACCTCCAGGCCTAATGCCAGTTCTCTGGGCAGGAGTTACCTGCCCTTTTATTTTTTAAGGACCCCCCCCAAAAAAGTTCCTGTCAGCATGTTTGGCCAATATGGGCCATGTGTTTTGTATCATGCTGCGTGTTGGCTGTATCATTGGTTTCCGTTACTAAGCACATGTTACTTTTGGCAACAGTTGTATGATAGACAATCATTTAATGAGAGAGAATTTTTTTCTAGTTTCCTTATAACAGGACTAAAACCTCTGTATTTACTAAGGTTTCCTTCTATGCAAATGTAAGATGAGAGGCTTTTTATCCCATGCTGATTGGGGGAAAAAACCTCAAGTAAATATGGTATTTAGCAAACAAAACAATCCCAAAGGGAAAGACAAATAGGCACCATTCTGAGACAGTCCATCTTGTGTTCAGCCTCCACTTCCGAGCAGGATTGACTCCTTCTGCAGAACTGAATAGTGACTTCTCCCAGTGCCACTTAAGTGACAGGGATTAAAGATGGCCTTCTCTTCCCTCACTTGAGCATTGGGCAACCAGTGTTTTCCTGCAGCAATTGTAAATAAGGCCATAGTGCCTGCTTCAGACTAATCCATTAATACAGAAACAAATGGTACAGGAAGGATTTACGCTTAACAGCACTTGATAATCTAGTGACTACAGCAGTGCAAAGGGACAAGAGGTGAGTCCCTGCCAGCAAGGAAAACAGACTGAGTGATCCAGGACCAAACACTGGCAGTCATGCATGTTCATTTGCTCACCCAAAGTGTCTGTACAGCCCCTGAGCTGTGTGAGCACTTGCATGAAGTGCTCACACAAACGGACATGAGCACCGGTGACCAGCTAAATGTCCACAGGGATATACAGCCTTCCAAGAGGCCTCTGTTAATTAGGCATGCAAACACACATAGACAGCTCCCCACCATGGGCCAAAGACAAGAGAAAAGAGTCTTTTTTAATAACAGCTGCCAGCTCTTTTCTATCTTCCTTATAACAGAGCTGAACACCCCAGATCCTGCAAACATAGTCTCATAGATTCACAGATGTTAGGGTCGGAAGGGTCCTTAGTGAGTCATCGAGTCTGACCCCCTGCCTGGGCAGGAAAGCGTGCCGGCGTCAAA